AGTGGGGTATATGATCTTAAGAATGTGAACACCATGGATTTAAAAAATATTTTATCACTTTTGTGATGATGTTCTAGATGTGCATGTTGTTGGGGTCATGGCCTTTCAAGGCCTGACGCCACTATTTTCTTATAGTTCTTAGTCACAATGGGAGTGAACAAGAATACCGTGACTCGTGAGATCTTTACGTGCTGTGATCTAGAGTTGGTATCCTTAGAGTCACAAAACCCAGAATCATGAGGATTGAGCTTGAGGGGTAATAAACGAAAAAGGTTGAGGGTTATCCCTAGTCTGGGATGGTGCGAGAATTCCTCATGATCATATAAGCCAGGCATGAGTAAAGTGTTTTGGATCAGACAATTACTGAAGCTATAGTATTACTGCAAGGATTTTTGAGAGCCCTGTGTGAGATGGTCAGGCTTTGAGAGGACATAAACCATATCCTTGACCTCGAACCATCTCACGGCATGTTCATAGGCACTCACAAATGGGATGCCGCTCTTTTTAGTTTTGATCGACTGAAAAGAGCTTTGTACATGTGTAAAAAAGCGAGCCACCGCATCCAAAATAGTGCATGTCCTTGGAGGTTCGCCTGCAATCCACTATAATTCCAGAACCAGACCATGTATTAAGTTTACTTTAATAAGCCAAACATCCATTAACCCTAATCTCTAAGTATTTTCCCCCAAGATGCCCTCGTTGAGATTAGAGAACTTCTAGAGAGAGAAAGGGAGAGAAAAATGGGAGGTCCCCCTTTTGTTGTGTTTCTTAAGGCTTAGCCATGGTGGCCTATTGAGCATAATAACTTGTGTGATCCATAGCCATCAAGAAGGAGCCTTGTTGTCATCTTCCTCACTCACTATTTCTGGTCTAAGCCACACCAAACAGCAACATATATGCTACTTCCATCTTCATTTCTACAATGATTTCATGCTCCCTTTATGCCTAGATGATCTACCTTGCCATCTAGTATAATTTACTTCATGTTGACATAACTTTCTCATCGTTGTTATGAGTATTTCTTACTAAAATTTGCAGAGATTTTCATCATAAATCAGCAAGCATTTGGAGCTCCTAATGAGTTCTAGATGATGATTTTATAAGCCCAAGCTATGCCAAGATCTTTTTACTCTCGCTTGTTAATATCCCACAAAATTTCTCATAGTTTGCATCCTTGGCCACCACACCATCTCTCTTCATGTTGAAGTATATCAGTCCCCTCTTGGAATTAAATTAGTGTAGTAAGCTTGATACATATTTGCTTCCCTTGACGTAGATCCATTTGAGCCATTAATCTTGTGCTATCGAAAGTGAGCATTCATATAGCATGTAACAATGCTTCAAAAATCACCGATCCGGATTGCGAATCGTCTTGGGCGATCCGGTTCATGTATATCGAGAACCAGCCAGTTCGAGCCGGTTCGTACTGGTTCACTAATAGAACTGGCCGGTTTTGTCAGAGAACCAGATGGAACCATCGATGAACCGGATTAAAAAATTTGAATGTTTTTTTTAAGAGAGAGGTAGTGGTCAACCCCACCCTTTTTAATATTCTTTGTTTCTTCTTTTTGAAAAATGAGACCGGCTCACCATTTTATCTCAAAGCGAGAAACTACTTTATAGTTAAACATTAAAAAAGGCCCGTTTTTTACCTCTGTGAGAAATCACATTTGCTTCAGCATTCATCTCCCCATTTATTATAGGCTTGTGCCCCCCATTTCATCCTCTTTCTTCCCCATGTGGGATATAAGCCCCCATCCTTTTACACCATCACCTTCACTAAATGAATAAAATTGGGCCCAAGCCACTACGTTCACTCAGACCATTCATTCATGTAATGAAATTGAGCCTAACAAGAAAATTAAGCCATCGTGTTCACTCAAGCCATTTGAATCAAAGCATGCCAAAATAAAATTAAGCCCAATATGAAGCTTAGAGTGGTGATGGGAAATGAAAAGCACGTACTTAGAAAAATGAAGTAAAAAGAAATTTAACAAGAGTACTCACAAGAAAATATCAAGTTAAAATGAAGCAAAAGAAAATTTAGAAAAAATTAACAGAGCAACATAGTAATGGGGATTATATAAATATTACAAAACAGAGATAGGGGGATCCATTTTACTGCATTGAGTTACATTTTAAATTATATTTTGACTAGAAAATGGATGTAGTGGTCAACAAACACCCAGGCGTGAAACAAGTTCTCAATATTTATATTTTTAACAGAATAATAAAAAATATACATTAAAATACGCCCAATTACTTTGAAAACATAAAAAACTACAATTTTAAGAAATTTTAGTGATATTTCGATTTTTTTTTATTCCGAAACAAGCTGATCCGGCTGATTCTGTGATCCACCAATCCGACCCGGTTTTTTGAGGTGGTCAATCCGGGTCGCCGATCTGTATTTTTAAACCTTGGTATGTACATAAGTCTTAGGCCATAAACCGGTGGCTTCCCATGATTATGTACATACTTAGTTAAGTCCATGTATTTTGGAAATTGATTGTCTTTGGTCTTGTCATTTATGTGCCTTGATGTTTTACATGTGTATCTTGCTGGGAGTTGTGCGGAAGTAACGTTCTTGTTGTTTTTAATCAATCTCTAAGTCGTGGTTTGAGTAGGACTAGTTTGGGGACCAAAGTGTGATTTTATGTATTTGTTTTGGGTGTATGTAATGGTAGAATTATGTTCACCTCAGAAGATATGGTGCTGTAAATTTCTTTAAAAGGCATTGTAAGTTACATTGGAGTCATTTTAAAAATTTAAATCGTGTATCCTTGAAAACAAGGCCCTATACACTCACTAGTGCTACCAGAGCTGAGCCTCATAGTGTCCTAGTTCAACTCTTCTAGATTGTATTTAGGTGTGCAAAAGTCTCTAATCATGGTGGCAAAAGTAATTTTGGTCGGCTTCTTGAAACATGAGATGTTTAATGAGACTAATTACCATGAGTGGGGGAGAAAAGTGGGATATGTGATGCGTGAAGAAGACCTCCCACTTCTCTCCCAACCACCCACCAAAGACCAAACCAAGGGTAATGCTTCTGGTTTTGGATAAATCTGGCTCCCAAAATTCATTGGATGACCTTGTAATCACTTTCAAGCTTCCCTTAGCGCTTATAGGCCTACTAAACATCTGAAGAATGTGCTGCACAAGGGTCTCTAGAGAACTTTAAAATGATATTTAGGGATATAGAAGGTCTTAAGGATGATATGCACAACATTGGGAATTTTGAAAGGTTCATTTTTCTGTGAATTTAACCTGTATGTCATCCCATTCTAGATGTGCTTAGAAGTTGTACAAAGTGTATTCTGTGCTGGGGATGCAATTCTACATTAGCATTAGGGATGCAATTTTACATTAGCTTCCCTTGACGCATCAAGCATCCATTATAAATATGAATACAAAAAAGTGGTAGTCCCACCAAAGGAGTAAACCTAGTGGTAAAAAGTTATTCTTCAAACAATATCATTTTAAAATATAAAATTTATTTATTTTATACGTTAACGATCCCCATGTTATAGATTATATATTCCTAAAAAATTGGGTTCCAAATCCATCTAAAAAATGGATCATGGAGAGAGGACACACATGTATATTTAAGTCCGCAGACTTGTAGAAACCATGTCCATCAGGAAATGGGCTCGAAGTGCTTTCATCAAATTCTGATACGAGGTGTATTGGTTTGCTTGACAGAATCATTATATTTTAAATGCCGGTTTTGGTGCCCATGCATAGGTTCTAGATGCACTTTTCCAGTCTGTGCAATAGTTCTAATGCAGGTCGAACATACTTCTAGGCAATTTCTTTTCCGGATATGAATTGAACCCTCATTTGGAGCATTCAAAGTGGATGAGACTTTACAAGCAATGGAAATGCTTTAGGAAAGTTCAAAATTTATTCAAAGTTACACTTTGAAGTTGGTACACCAGTAATTTGCTTAAGACAAATTTCTAATTGCAATATGACCCAAAGTCTTTCAAAAAATAACAAGAGGTAAAACAAAAAAAAGCCAGATGAAACTGAATGGGTAATTCAAGTTGCAGTTTCAACATATATTTCTGCTACAAAATAATCCAAAAATTTGAGAAAAATCATCTCTTGTGAGCTAGCTGACTACCCTTGTATGAATTGGGGCTCTGAGATGCTATAATGCCTCACCCTCAGCCTGAGACTTGGACTTTGGATGTGACTAATGGCCTATGGCCAGAAGCACTAGAAAAAGATTAGAGATATAACTAGGATGACTTTTCAAGTATTCATATGCGTATTGTTCATTTCTTATCTTATCTCGTTTTGAATCCTAAGCAAAGTGTAACAAAATTCCTTTTCTCAAAAGCTTTTCAAGTAGAGTCCTTTGTTTGAAGTCTCTGTATTAAATGGTTTCGGCTTTTTCTTTCTCAAAAAAATGGTTTCAGCTTTTTCCATCTCTACTCCCAAGTCGGACCTCAATGGAAGAAGGATTGTGACCAAGATTTTCTGTTGCTGCACACAGACTCCTTACGCAAAGCATTCCCGTGGGAACTAATTCCAGGGCTTGCAAAGCTACCATTTCGAACCTGAGAAGAAAACCTCCTGAGGCGTACTTTCTATTGTTTGCCAATGTGACAGAGGATCTATTTTTCTTAGTGAAAACTGCTTTGAGGAATAGATTTGTTATGATTTGCGGTGAACCATTCTTGATCATTCGTGTGAACTGGTTTTGGCTAAACTAATTTTAACTTCTCTCTTAGATTCTAAAGTCTGCAGCCCAAATCCTCGGACCTCTCCTATAGATTTCAAACACAATTTGGAATCCTGAAACTGAGCATCCCGACATCCATATTTCTCTTTTATGATGACGGACACCTACAAGTTGTCCATATCTAAACATATAGGCCTTTGCATGTCTGTGTGGGTGTGTATGTGCGTGAGTGTGTATACGTGAGAAAGGGAGGGAGGGAGGGTCATGGCGATTACATGTGCATAGATCTGATTCAATGTTGGTGTTTTAGCAAAGGGTTGAGATAATGCCTGAGAAGCCGAAAAGTAAATATAATCATTTATTGACCATGATGGGAGTGGAAAATAACATCCATAGAAGGAAAGAAGGCATGGAGATTCAAGTAACTGAGATCAACGATTCATGCTCAACTGCTTTCTGTAATATCAACCTCAAAACTGCTGGTATCCCTTGCTTCTTTTCCTTCATGCTCATTAAATTGTGTTTATTGAGGATTTTGATTTTCCTTTCTTTTTGTTTTGGTTGAAAATGATTTATGTGTCAGCAACAGATTCTTTCATTTTACTCATGTAATGTGTCTAAGGTGTTCTGAAAGCAGCTAAACATAATATATTATTTTGCATATTTATCATCAGCTGCAGCAATAGGAATATCGTTGTCTGCTAGCCTACTAGCTTATAGTCTTATGTATAGTAAGTTACAAATTTAATCTTTCGTACGTTACAATGTCCTTTCTTTTTGTTGGAGCCCAGTATTCGAAAAAGGCATTGCAAATTGAAGTCTAAAAAATGAAAAGCCGTTAATCAGAAAAGGTCTTTAATTAGTTGTGGCTAATTGAACTCCCTTTAAACATGTGCTATCATTAAAGTCCCAAGCCTAGTCAATCACTCTGAACTTTCACATAAACCCTAACTAAATCAAAATTTTAAACAGGTATAGTTTCTTTTCAAAGATTTTATTGATGGTTTTTATGCAATGCACTTCGTCTGCAGAACCAGGATCAAAATTGACAAGACAATGGAGGGGTCCTCCTATTCGGATGTCTCTGCCAAGCTTCAGGTTTGACCATCAAACATCCATTTGGGGATTGATCGTCATCTTATGTCTTTTCTTTGACTTCCTTTCCTTTTTCTACGGAGCAAACTTTTATCTTCATTTTTGTGCCAAAAGATTGACTGATTTAATTGTTGAAATCATAGCGGCCACACTGAGCACCATCCTCAGTTTCTTAAGTACTCATGTGACATTGAGTGCAGGTTAGTCTGCCTCCTTTACATCCTCTTAGTTCGATTCTTTTTCCATTAAATGGCATGCATCTGCGCTTGTATATGTACATTTTAAAGTTTGTATCTTGCCTTTGATACTGTTTGTCAACTTCCCCAAAGTCTCCCAGTAACTTGCTGATTAGAATTTTAGAAGCACTGCATTTGTCTCTCTTATTTGCTCCATTCATTAATTTAAACTCGATTAAGATTCTAGAGTGACTGGATTTTTTTATTTTAAAGCATGAATGCATATGGTGTTCTGAAATTAACATGAGGCTTAAGTAGACCAATCATCAATAAAAGTAACAAAATATTTAAAGCCAGCGTAAGAATCAACTGGGACTGGTCCCCACACATTAGAATGTATCATATAAAAGGGTTTTTTTGAACATGCATAGAAGACTGAGAAGAAGTCTTGTCTATTTTGAAAATTTACAAACTTCGCAAGAATGAGAGTTTAAAAATAGAGAGGGCATTAAAATTTTCAAAATTTTAACTGAAGGGTGTTCAAATCTCCAATGCCACAATTTATCAATATCAGAATTATCTTGACTGGCAACCAAAGCCTTATTTTCTTGATTAAATAAATATAGCCCTTGAGACTGACCAAAGCTTTATTCTCCTGATTAAATAACGGGTGCGGTTTGTATAGAGCCTAGGCTCTAAACAATCAAATTAGAGCCTACCTTCAAATAGTGTCGACAAATACGGTTTCAATACTGGAAATTTTTGTGATAGCTTTCAAATATATTTTCATTTTTATTTATAAACTTTAAAGCTTCAAAAATAATGTAGATCGACATATCTACGAAAACTTGAAAATCTTGAAAATTGACAGTCTAAAAATGCATTACAAAATACACTATTTTCAAAACTTGAAATCCATTTTTTTCTCATGTCCATGCATCTTGATGTCGAGATGATCAATTGAGGATATTTGGGCATCAAAACAACATCGTCTAGTGAAAGTTTTGAGGTAGGCTCAAATTTGATTGTTTAGAGCCTCAGCTCTATATAAACCTTTCCTTTAAATAAATATAGCCTATGAGACAATCTTCCTTTACCAATCTTTATCCCCGCTGCCTGGTCTTGGAAAGTCATAAAGTTGGGTGAAAAAATGACATTGCAATTCATGCTCTGAGTAATTTTACTAACAGACATCAAGTTAGAGGAAAAGGAAGGCATAACTTCAGAGTTTTGAGACTTGGAAAAGAACTTGGCCTTACTAACACCATAGACAAGAATCAATGAACCATTTGCAATAGATATAATGTTCATATTTTCATTATTTTTGAGATTAGATAAACATTGTAAATTACCAGTCATATGATCTATAGTCCTTAAGCCTATATTATCTATGGAAAAGTGTCACTTGAAGACATGAAAGCATAAGGGTTACCTGTGTCTAAGAATGAAGAAGGAACCTGTGTGGAGGAAGAACCATTGTTGTTACATGGTTGCTGATAATGATCACAATTGCAGTAATGAGCTTGAGTGGTTGCGGTCTGAGCTGTAGATCTGTCGGCTGTCTTGTTATTAATGGGCCTTAAGTGTGGGTATAATACCCAACACCTATCCTTCACATATTTAGTCTTACTCTTATTAATAATAGTAATAAAATGATCAACCTCTGCCATAGTCGCGAGTGCTTTGATGCTACGCATTAATCGGTGTGACTACTCTTCTAAGGGGCTGGGGGTTTCGCAAGAGCAAAAAACTAGCAAGCTAGGCTTGAAAGCCAAGAAGCAATGACTAGCGCGGCGCATTAGCGCATCCGTTTTCTTGCACGCTATTATATAATCTAACTTTGCATATGATAATAACTCCATCTGAGGAATAAGGGCTAGCGTAGGAGAGTGAAGACTGAGAATGGTGGTTCCATGAGCTCAGTATGCATAGCAGAGGCTCACTTGGGTTTATAGCTAGATTGAAGACTTTTGTGAGCAGCTAAGCGACTTAGATTCTATAGAAGGCCTCGCTCTTCTTTTTCAAAAGCAACAGGCCAAGCCCAAGCAATGAGCAACCTCTACCATTGTCGCGAGAAGATGTGAATGACTATGATCATTAGGTGACTCAGAGGTCACAATCCTATACTGTTGTAGTGATCACATCTAGGATGCCTTCTATTATTACGGCCCCTTCCATTATTGCGATAATTGTTAGGTCCTCTACCTCCACCACTATTTTGAGGCCTTTTTGTTTCATATTTCTCATTATTAGCAACCAGAGAAATTTTTTCAACACTTGCTTTAGAGGTTTTCAAATAAAGATTCATGATTTTCTTTCTAGTTATGTGTCTAAATTTAGAGTTTTCAAAGAGAGAATGAGAAACAGCTCTCGACCAAGCAAGATAATTAAATCCATTCAAAAGAACAATAGTAAGTTTTATGCTAGAGTTAGGTTCTGAATCTGCCATTACAAAGAAATAAAAGGAGCCAGAAGATTGACCTGATCAGTGAATAGCAATTAAAGAGTAGAACACACCTTGATCGGAAATAACCGGAGACCCCAATGAGCACTATCGTTTCCCTCTCTAGAAATTTCCGACGCGTATGGAGCTGTTTCAAACCAAATCATGGGCCCTTGCAAAGAAATTAGCCGTCAATGGAAAATGCCGTAAAAAAGATAATGATAAGAGACTTTCAAATTCCTTTGATGCAAACCCTTTGATGCAAAAAGAGACGTGGATGGGGTTTTGCAAAATCCCTTTGATGCAAACCTTTTGATGCAAAAAAAGAATGACGTGAATGGGGTATTGCAAAATCCCTTTTATGCAAACCCTTCGATGCAGAAAGGAAGTTGTGAATGGGGTTTTGCAAATTAATGCCTGCAAATCCCACATGATCCATTTTGGCCGGGTGAAATAGAGTGCCTTCCAATTCATTGCCCCAAATGGATCGGCCATAAAAAAGACCCACAGCCTAGTGCAAGATAAGGACGTCGCTTTCAAGAAAGCAAGGCCAGAGAGAGAGATACAAGCGAGGGTGAAGGTCTCCTTTGGGTTTTCAAATCGATAGGCCGCAATAGATCGTGATGGATTAGCCTGCTCTGATACCATGTAAAAATTACAATAAATTAAATAGGGATGAAAGAGAGAGAGAATCGACAAGATATATGTGTAGTTTGACAACGGTGCCTACGTCCATAGAGGGTCGACCAGTTTATCATATCATAGAGATTACTCTGGTTTGTCAGAGATTTATAGAGTTATAATTCTTGTCTTTTAAGAAACAAATCTCATTACAACTTTAATTCCACAAAATAGGAAACTTCAATATCTCGTAATCCACAAGATAGGAAACTTAATATCTTCATGCTAATATCTCACTTATTTTTTCCATTCATTAATTTAAACATGACTAAGATTCTAGAATGACTCTATTTTTTTATTTTAAAGCATGTATACGTATGGTGTTCTGAAACCTATAATGGTATCCAATCTTGGATTTAACCTGGTAATCGACTTTATGCAGCAACTTCAAATGATGCATTATAACGCTTGAGAAATTTAATCGTGATAACCATATGTGAGATTTTTTTAAGCATCTACAGCATTAAATATTCCTCCTCTCTAATGACCTCTTAAGAAGTTAAAAGATCTATCTATACATCTTCATCAATGTTACAAGACTAACCCGAGTCCACTCGGACTAGGGCGAATAACTCAGCCTCACGTTAGTGGCGAGGCCGAGTTACTTGTCTGTACAACTCAGGGTACATAAAGAAATTTATTAAAAAATCTAAAAAAAGGGAATATTTTTAAAATTTTTTATGTATATTGTTTAATTTTTTTATGTGCAATTTGATATTTTTGGCAAAGATTGGCAAGTAGTTTTTGCATTAATCGCTATTTTTATATTTTCCTTTTTTTTTTTTTAAGATTTTTCAAGTGTCCCCAACTATAAATCATTTTTTTTTCAGATCGATTTTTTCTATACAAATTTTAAAATTATGTGGATTTTCTAGAGGTTTTTTTTATTTTATTTTCCTTTTACTAATTTTTTCTATTTTCCATTTTTTTTAATATTTTTTCTAGGGAGTTTGGCCATGTACTTGACTTGCGTAAGTAACTCGGACTTGCAGTAGTCACTCGGCTTGGCCAAGGTACCAAGGGCCCAGCACCTTGGCCAAGGCGAGTTCCGTAACATTCATCTCCATAATCTCTAATTAGCAATGGCATGTTCCATATTTATTTATTTTTTGAAAAAGAAAGACGATGAAACTTTAACTATGACATGTAAATAACTTTTTCCAATGAACCATCACAGTTATTCTATGACATGTAAATAACTTTTTCCACAAGCATATTATTTCTACTGTATGTCATTGGGAGTACATTCAGTGTCTGGCTTTCTTAGATAATCTGCCCAAAACTGTTGGTGGTCAAATGAACCATGAAAGCAGTATTGCATTGCAAACGTACATTTGCATGTCATGAATTTTATTTGCTAAATAGCTGTATCTTTGTATATTTTGTGCAGAATTCGACCGGTACCACCTGCTAAAATATCCAAACCTCCTACTCCCAGCCATGATCAATCGTCATCGGGTGAGATGGGTGCTGTTGAAATCTTGAATGTGGAGAATTCCTCCGATAGTGATGAACATAATCGGAAAATCTCATTGCTATTACTGTCTAAGCCAATTTTGGCTTTGGAGTTCAGCTCCATGCAGTTGAAAGTTGGTGCTCCACGTATTGTTGAGCCTCGCTAGCATTCCTCACACATAACATGCTTTTTCTCTCTGCCAAGATATGTCTCTCTGTGGGCTGTTGGTTGGGCATCAGTATGGTAATGTAATGTGTCGACAAGGTAATCAGTATGTCCCCATTTTGTGTGGACCGGGTAGGTGTTTCACTAGTTATATTCAAAATTGAGGCGGAGCATTTTTTTTGTTTATGTTTTCCGATGGTAGGCAGGTTTTTGAGGTAATTTTTGTATAAAAACTTGTCCAAAAATGGACGAACCCAAAATTGCGGAATTGTTCTCACTATTACTAATAAAATAATAACAACATCAACAACAACAATAATAGTAAGGGTGCAGTTTGTATAGAGCCGAGGCTTGGCTTCAAATAGTGTCAAAAAACATGGTTTCAATATTGGAAATCTTTGTGATACCATTAAAATATATTTTCATATTTAATTAGAAAATTTAAAGCTTTAAAAATAGTGTAGATCAACCTGATCTATGAAAACTTGGAAATCTTGAAAATTAAGATGCATTATTTTCAAAATTTGAAATCCATTTTTTTTTCATGTCCATGTATCTTGATGTTGAGATGATCAATTTAAGGATATGTGGGCATCAAAATAACCTTTTCTAATAAAAATTTTGATGTAGGCTCTAATTTAATTGTTTAGAGCAATGGTTTAAAAATCGGATCGGTGACCCGGATCGGGCTTTTCAAAAACCGATCCGGATCGGTGAATCGGCGATCCGGATCCGAATCGGGTGAATCGGTCAGAATAAAGC